ACTACTACTACTACTACTACTACTACTACTACCACCACCACTACTACTACTACTACTACTACTACTACTTCTACTACTACTACTACTACTACTACTACTACTACTACTACTACTACTACTACTACTACTACTACTACTACTACTACTACTACTGCTACTACCTGGCCTTTTTCCAGACGAAATATATGTATATATGTCTCTCAAACGATTCTTTATATTATTGCAATTTCCAGTTCCAACTCCCTCAACTTACACCTTTTGAACATTTTAAGTGGCATGGACTGCTGCGACACCCCCCCCCCCCCTCCTCCTCACCCCACATGTATTCTTTGCAGCCTGACGCCTGCTCAAGATCAAGTACTGTTGTGTGGCTCCCGGATGTAAAGATGTGCGATGTTAGCAACAGGATTAAGTTGTAAGTCATGCAGGATGTTTTTTTCTGGGCAACTTCTCAAACTGTGACGTCTGCCCGGACACTCCTACATCCGCTAGTGTAGACATAAAATCTGCTCTATTGTTCGAAAACAACCCAGCAGGTGAAACGGACTTTAGTTTCTGTTTATTTTCCATAAAATCGGAGTCTTAATAAACAGCTAGTCTATCCGAGTGAACACACAATGTTTCGTCTGCTGTCTTCTTTCTGGCAAACCATCTCGAGCATCAGTGTCATTGTTTGTCTGTGTCTGACTTACGTGACCGCTGGCACAGGTAAGTTTCACCGACAGTGGCACGTGAAAGTTTGTTACCGACAGTGGCACGTGTAAGTTTGTTACGACAGTGGCACGTGTAAGTTTGTTACAGACAGTGGCACGTGTAAGTTTGTTACGAAAGTGGCACGTGTAAGTTTGTTACCGACGGAGGCACGTGTAAGTTTGTTACCGACAGTGGCACGTGTAAGTTTGTCACCGACAGTGGCACATAGAAGTTTGTTACTGACAGTGGCACATGTAAGTTTGTTACCGACAGTGGCACGTGTAAGTTTGTTACCGACAGTGGCACGTGTAAGTTTGTTACGACAGTGGCACGTGTAAGTATGTTACCGACAGAGGCACGTGTAAGTTTGTTACGACAGTGGCACGTGTAAGTTTGTTACCGACAGTGGCACGTGTAAGTTTGTTACCGACTGTGGCACGTGTAAGTTTGTCACTGACAGTGGCACATAGAGGTTTGTTACCGACAGTGGCACGTGTAAGTTTGTTACGACAGTGGCACGTGTAAGTTTGTTACCGACAGTGGCACGTGTAAGTTTGTTACCGACAGTGGCACGTGTAAGTTTGTCACCGACAGTGGCACGTGTAAGTTTGTCACCGATAGTGGCACGTGTAAGTTTGTCACCGACAGTGGCACATGTAAGTTTGTCACCGATAGTGGCACGTGTAAGTTTGTCACCGACAGTGGCACATGTAAGTTTGTCACCGACAGTAGCACATGTAAGTTTGTCACCGACAGTGGCACATGTACGTTTGTCACCGACAATGGCACGTTTAAGTTTGTCACCGAATGTGGCACGTGTAAGTTGGTCACCGACAGTGGCACGTGTAAGTTTGTCACCGACAGTGACACGTGTAAGTTTGTCACCGAAAGTGGCATGTGTAAGTTTGTTACCGACAGTGGCACTTGTAAGTTTGTCACCGACAGTGGCACGTGTAAATTTGTCACCGACAAGTAATGTTTGATTAAAAACCTTCTTTTACTGATGATGGTGCATTTGTTGGGCTGGTCGAACGGTTAGGAACGCAGGGTTGTCACGTTGGAGACCCAGGTTCACAACGCTAGAACGGTTGTGGATTTTTTACAATAAACTCCTAGCCTGCACAGTCCGTGGCGACACCACTGGCTATGTGGCCCAAAATATTGAGACTTAAGCCTCCCGCTGACTCAACGGATCCGCTGTGGCCCAGCGACTACTGGCTCGGCTGCTGGCACCAAGCAATTATGTTCCAGTTTGTATCCAAGAGTATATAATGTTCTAAACCGAGCTTAGGACTTCTGGCTGATTTTTTTTTCTGACAAAATCACTTTATTGCAGCTGATCTCTGCCCACGATGTTGTCTCTATTCATGAATAAACATTCCCTCTTTGAGCTCTGGACCTTATTAAGAGGGGGCGGGGGGGGGGGGGTGGGGAAGACACAAATACGCCAGATCTGTAACACGGATGTGCACATAAAACTGACGTTATGCAACAAGACAAATATCCAGCAGGGAACGAACAACTAACACTTTCCGCCGGTGTTTAGAAGCTGTGAAAGTGTAAATAGAATATATTTTGTCAACTTCCCATAATCCCTCACTAACTCCAGTCTATCGATGATTTACTTCCATTTACGAGCATTGATAAGATTCCACTGAATATAAGGAAAGCTGACTCAAATACAACACTGAGGCGAGTCACAAAGATTTCTTAAACATTATCAAGGATTGGGCTACAATTGACCTAAGTCTTGTTTACGAGCGTAAAAAAGATAATGAAAATAATTAAAACAACAATGTAATGAATGACGCCTAAATATAGTATATTAAAGAAAAACCTATCACATGTATACCTGTAAGCCACGTTGCGGCTGCAAGGCTTAGAGGCTAGTGGATGCGGTTAAAAATGTCATGATCTTGGAGGGCTGTGGCTCGCTTCCCGCGGCTGACGTAGAAAACGTAGTTTTTGGACAGGGGTAAGAGAGTTGTACCATGGATGGGAGTCGGGCTTCACCACGTGAATACTCCCAAAGACAGCATGGTATACTCTAACCGACCTTCACTGTGGAGACGGCACATAACTTCTGAAATGTGCACACACAGTCGAACCAGAGAACTTTTGCTCATTGACCATAACTAACCCGTTTCTCTCCCCCAACAAGTTTACGGGGGTGGCACATGGTTCCCAAACAAACACACACACTCCTCCCCTCCCCTACCTTCTCCCGCTTCTGATTGCCTTGCTAAACGTCTTCATTCTGTCAAATGTTTTTTATTTTTATTTTCCAGCTATTCTACATTACACTTCCTTAATTTTATGATTTCTTAGTTTCAACAGCGGAGACGGCCAGTCTGGATAAGCTGTTAATCCAACTGAATAATGAGACCTCGCAGTTCCGCTCACTGATACTCCAGTGGAGGAATCAATCCGATCAGTTGGACACCTTCAGTCAAGCCTGGAGCCGACAGTTGGCCCAACAACAGCAACAGCTGAACGCCATTGGGGACAAAGTTAAGGAATTAGACAGTAGATCACAGGTGAGAGATGACATTGTTGTCCGAGTAGAGGTGAGATGTCAGAGGTGACATTGTTGTCTGAGTGGAGGTGACAGTAAGAGTTGACATTGTTGTCTGAGCGGAGGTGACAGGTGATAGGTGACATTGTTGTCTGAGTGGAGGTCACAGTTAAGAGGTGACAGGTAAGAGGTGACAGGTAAGAGGTGACATTGCTGTCTGAGTGAAGGGGACAGGTGACATTGTAATCTGAGTGAAGGTGACAGGTAAGAGGTGACATTGTTGTCTAAGTGAAGGTGACAGGTGAGTGAGAGCTGACATTGTTGTCTGAGTGGAGGTGATAGGTGAGAGTTGATATTGTTGTCTGAGTGGAGGTCACAGGTGAGAGTTGACATTCTTGTCTGAGTGGAGGTGACAGGTGAGAGTTGACATTGTTGTCTGAGTGGAGGTCACAGGTGAGAGTTGACATTGTTGTCTGAGTGGAGGTCACAGGTAAGAGCTGACATTGTTGTTTGAGTGGAGGTCACAGGTGAGAGTTGACATTGTTGTCTGAGTGAAGGTGACAGGTGAGAGTTGACATTGTTGTCTGAGTGGAGGTGACAGGTGAGAGTTGACATTGTTGTCTGAGTGGAGGTCACAGGTGAGAGTTGACATTGTTGTCTGAGTGGAGGTCACAGGTGAGAGCTGACATTGTTGTCTGAGTGGAGGTGACAGGTTAGAGTTGACATTGTTGTCTGAGTGGAGGTCACAGGTGAGAGTTGACATTGTTGTCTGAGTGGAGGTCACAGGTGAGAGCAGACATTGTTGTCTGAGTGGAGGTCACAGGTGACAGCTGACATTGTTGTCTGAGTGGAGGTGACAGGTAAGAGTTGACATTATTGTCGAGTGGAGGTCACAGGTGAGAGTTGACATTGTTGTCTAAGTAGAGGTCACAGGTGAGAGTTGACATTGTTGTCTAAGTGGAGGTGAGAGGTGACATTGTTGTCTGAGTGAAGGTGACAGGTGATATTGTTGTCTGAGTGGAGGTGACAGGTGAGAGGTGACATTGTTGTCTGAGTGAAGGTGACAGGTGAGAGGTGACATTGTTGTCAACGTGGAGGTGACAGGTGAGAGCTAATTGTGTTGCCTGTGTGAAGGTTACCGTTAAGAGTTGACATTGTTGCCTGAGTGGAGGTGACAGGTGAGAGCTGACATCGCTGTAGGAATAGAGGTGAGAATAATGCTGGGAGAACTAACTTGCCTGACTAATGTGTGCGTAAAGGATGTAATGAGAATGATGACGATGTTATAAACTGGGGCTAGGGAGAATGATGACGATGTTACACACTGGGGCTAGGGAGAATGATGACGATGTTACACACTGGGGCTAGGGAGAATGATGACAATGTTACACACTGGGGCTAGGGAGAATGATGACGATGTTACACACTGGGGCTAGGGAGAATGCTGACGATGTTACACACTAGAGCTAGGGAGAATGATGACATTGCTACACAGTGGAGCTAGGGAGAATGATGACGATGCTACACACTGGAGCTAGAGAGAATGGTGACAATGCTACACTCTGCAGCTAGGGAGAATGCTGGTAAATGTAAACCACTGGTTAAGCTAAGCAGCTTAAGGAGATGCACTGGTTTATAGAAAAAGGGTCCCCAGATAGATGTAATACTATTATAGTTCTGTTTTATTTTCTGTACAGGTCTCTTGTCCGACGGGATCCGCTAAGAAGTGGATCCCTGCAGTGTGTGAATCACAGACTGTTGGCGACGACTGGGTCCTCATCCAGGTAATTAGAGTTTTATATTTATCTAGCCTAACTACCTTACTTACCTATCTACATAGTACGTATCTATCTACTTGTTTATTTTACCTACCTCTCTACCAATCTAACTACTTATCTATATTTCTGTCTGCCTGTCTTCTGCCTGTCTATTTATCTATTTTTAAATCTGACAGTTTCTCTGTTCACCTATTCATCCACCCACCCATCTATCCATCCATCCAGCCGTTCGTCCCTCCCTCCATCTATCCGTCCGTCCCTCCATTCATCCATCTACCCATCAATACATCCATGCATCAGACTTTCCCTTCATCTATCTATCCATCCTTCCGTCCATCCATCCTTCCATCCGTTCATCCAACCATCAATCCCTCCATCTATTCATGTTTTTGTTCGCCTGCCTGTCTATCTCTCTGTGTGTTTCTTTCAGTCTATCGCTAACCTGTACGTACGTTTGTCTATCTTGTCGCTTGTCTCTCTTTATTCGTCCGTATACTTCAATATGTAATATGCCTGTCTTGCAGACATTTGTGTTTGTCTGTCTATGAATGTAGCACGTCTACCGGAGAGTTTACGCGAATCTATTTATGAACGTGACATCTGTAAACGAACGCGAAAGGTCTCTCTATCTATAAACGTGACATGTCTATATGTAAACGTGACACACATGTCTGTCTATGAGCGTGACATGTCTGCAAGTCTGCTTGTATTTGTGTATTCCGCAGAGACGTAAAACTGGAGACGTACAATTCTATAGAGACTGGAACGATTACAAAAATGGGTTTGGAACCAAAGACACCGACTTTTGGCTTGGACTGGACGCTATTCACAATCTCACTTCACAGGTAAGAGAACCAGACAGCTCACCAGCTAGTGCAGCACCAGCAGTTCTGTGAATACCCATCGAATATCACGGGGAATGGTTGCGTTCATAGAACTGAGCTTACTGCGCCATGTTTTGTTTCATATTGCTGGGTCTCTATTGACAGAAAGTAGAGTCGCAGCAGAGAGCCTCACAGAAAGCACGAACTCCGCAGCTTTAAAACCGACCCTTACAAATTTTCTTACAAACTGAACACGTGACCCAATCGAAGCAATCTGCGAATCGAACTCGCGACTCTCAGAGCACGAGGCAGACGGCTCGACTATTTGGCCAAGAAAACACACCATGTACCCCCTCCCACCTCTCATCCCTCATCCGTTCCCTCCTTGTCTCCCTCCTTCCTTTTTCCCGACTAGCGAAGAAGCCAAATAACAATTTCTGTGTGTGTTTTGACAAAACTGAGACTTGCTACAACAGAAGCACGCAGACCCCGATGACGTTTTGGTGCCAGCATATATGGCAACTTGCAGAAGTAATCAAAACAGAGATCATAAAGTAGCTAATATCTACAGTCCCAAAAAAGAGAAGCTTATAAATAATTTTTTTTTTTAACCCAATGGCTACTGAAAAGAACATTATTTTGGTATTGAAGATATTTGTAATTTAATGAATTTAATGAGCGAAAAGTTCAAAATTTCACAAAACAATACACAAAACAATACTTTGAGGTTCAATCAATCAGTTTGCAGTTTTACATCTGGGTCACTGGTACCTTTTAGGCGAACGGGCTTTCCCACTAACTAAGAAAAATAAATAAAATGAGCCATTGCATAACTGTTCGTGTCTTGTTTTCAACAGGAAGCACCATTGAAATCTATGCGTTTCTTTCTTTAACAGTAAACATTTGTAAACGCCATATTAATAATGACGATAACCAGTGGCATCAGGAGGTCTAGCAGAGTGACATGGCTGGGGCATGTTGAGAATAGACTGTCAGATGACCTAAGCTTTTAATAATGGCAGTGTCTGGGTCTGAAACAAGAATGCTCTCACGTGCGCCCAGTTAGCGCTTTCAGGACCACATTTTGACTGGTGTTTGGGCAAGATCAATTTTGAGCGGAATTATTTTACTGCAACATGAAAAAGCTAGAACCTTCCTGAAGAAAAAGTATTGGCTTTACAAGGACATATAGTATTTCACATTAAAGAGAAATGAGGGCAGAATAAATCTAAACTATTTAAATGACAGTATTACAACAAACTATTCTTAAAATCACACAACATTCAAGGATGTTAGACACAACGATTATTTACGCAAAAAAAATCTGTGCTTACCCTACTTTTTACTTGTTCAGCAACACTGCTTTTCATTTCTAAGAATTCACATAACTTCTCTGTTCAGGTATGTATCAGTGATTTTTTAATTTAAAACAATTAATTTAAATACTTTGGATGTTATGACCATTTTTTTAAATGACATATCAGATTTCGCAACAAACGAAATCGGGAAAACAGCTGATCGAAACAGGTGATCTGACTAAAGTATTTTGTTCAGTCTTCATCATATTTATCGACACAGGTTTCGCACATGGCGTTATCAATCATAATATCAAGATTATTATCACTATCTGGCTAAGATTTAACAAGGACAGAGCAGTATGAACAGTTTTTAGATTATTTCCTTTATCACCGAATATTAAAAAAATCACGCAAACGTTGTATCGCATCTACATTTTTTTTTAAATCAGAGAGTGATGCAAACACCATGCTGACTTCGTATCGTATAAAATCAAACAAAAATTCCAAGCTTAGTCCTTTTTTAGCCGCCTCATGGCCTGCTTTTTCAAGGACGGTTCCTTTGCTATCTTATTTATTTATCTTCCTTTGTGGTGAGCAATTACACCTGAATTTGTTCATTTGTTGCCTAAGTTCTGACTTCACACATCCGACTCCATTTAACAGTCCTTACAGCTAATCACGTGACATTATAGCACAGAGGCCTTCGGTCAGTTTGTAAATCGAGAGGGTAGAGCCATGTGTTGTGTTGTGTGGCATTTATTGCGCCTACGAAGTTGTGTTCTGAATGTATTCGTTCTACAAATCAACAAGCGGAGATTGTGAAGTGGAAATAGAAGATTTTCAAACTTTCCTGTGTTAAATTACAGCAGTTTAAATTCACAGGAGACAGTCGCGTTGTCATATGAGTTTAGTCAGACTAGACAGTAGTCTGAATTTTTTGGAACTGGCTGACTATTATTTTTTCTACTTTGAATGTGGAAATCTTACTTTTGGGGGAAAATTCAAACAAGTAATTTAAAAGCCAAATCTGTACAATATCGACAATTGTCAGGTGCCAACTTTCTCGTGTCGGTGAAACAAATTTTGGAAGCAGAAAATATTAAGAGAAATTTACGATTTGCACCATTTTATGCCTGACATCATCTGTTTATGAAAACTTGGCAATTCTCAACTAAATTCGTCTCCTATAAACAGCACAGAAGCTACTTATGTGCATTGTTACATGCAGTATTCTGAAATTTTGTGCTGATGAAGTGAATGGTGTGTGTGCTAATGTGTGTCTAGTCAGGTATTGTTTCAAAAGTACTATCTCTACTGTGTAATGAATTTTCAAACAATAAAAAAAAAAAAAACACACACAGGAACTGAATTTATCTTACAATAGGAAACTGGACAGATTTGCATATCAAATTGCTTAAATAAAGAGATAATTTTGTAATCTCTCATCTAAAACCATATTAACTACACTGTTGATAATTGTGTCAAGATCTTTTGGAGCTCTAGGTAAATGGATAAAAACAATATTTACTAACTGACCTCTCACAGCAAGCCACTCTTTGCCTCTTTACCAATTGTTGACTAACACTATAATTATATTTTCTTTTCTAGAATGAGGCTAATATTATTCCTCAACCATTTGTGCTAATTTATGTGCACCTTTTTCTTTTTCGCATTCACTGGCTGTAAACTCTGGCAGAAAGTTTTGGTTGTTTATCTAAATTTAGACTTTAGTCTTGTTGCAGACAATAGTTTTTGCGTGTACATTTGTTATACAAACCTGACTTGGTTGTGTGCAGACCGCTGGTTCCTTGCCTCTCAGGCAGATGCATTCCGGCTTTGAATGAAGCTACGACTCTTACGACATGCACTAATAATAATCCTTAACGATTTGTGTTCATTTTTGTAAATCATCTTCTGCTTCGCAATCACTGGCTGTAAACTCTGGCAGAAACTTCTGGTTGTTCATCTACTTCTTTTGGATATTTGCAGTTGTCTGTTTTAATGTGCTTCACTTACCTTTATAATAATTTACCATTCATGGTACTTATACGCGTTGTTGCATGCAGTATTCAGAAATATGTGTGATGTATTTAAACAGTTACCAAAAAATTCACAATGATAGTGATGTGATTTAATCCAACAAGATGCAACTGAACAAATATGTTTGTGCTGTTTGTACCTTGGGGATAAATATTTAGTAGTGCTATAGTACAATTAAGAAGGCTGCTCTGGGTGAACAATTATTGCACATATCAATGTCATATTGACTGTGCATTTAAAAAAAACTGTTTAAAATTTACTAAACTTTTTAAGCAAGTGAGCTCCTTGTATACTAATTATTAACTAACAGTATAATTATATGTTGTAGTAGTCTACTAATAGTAATAACAACCATCAACCATTTATATTCATGTAATGTATGACATGTGTATGTTTCATGGCAGTATTTTTGTGTGCTAAGTTTGATAAAGTACAAATGTAACCCCTCTTTCCTCATCTCCCCCACCCCTAGGTCCTCTAATGCAATACCAACTCAAAATCAAAGAGTTATTCTAATATTTCTTTACTTTTGCTGGAATAAATTCCAGTTTATTTCTACACGTTTTTTGGTGTTTATGTTCATGTCGACTGTAGAAAATGCATTTTTGTTTGGCTGTCAGAGCCTTCATTGTTATATTCTAATAGCACACTTATTTACCTTCAAAATGACATATAATTTGATAAAATATATTACAAATTAATGCAACTGTAGTTTAATTTGTGTGTACATCTCCTCGAGAAAAACTGTGAACACAGAGCCGCTCTCGACTTGAACAAGAACGGGAATAGGAAAGGACTTCCTGTTGCTAATCCTAGTTGCTTTTTCAAAACAGTTTATACAAATTCGGTTTTCCCCACAAACTGAACAAAACTATAATGGCTCTATAAAGCGCCAGTATACTGGCCAATAGTCTGATCGGGATAAATTCAAACGCCAGTTAACTGGCAATGTCCCCAAACAGACTAGATGTAAGAAACATCAATATTATGTTAGCATCACGGCCGCCGGAGCCCCAACGACCATGAGACAACCCCTCTTCACAAACAAGTCGTAAAAGGTACCTATTCAGGAAAGAGTCCTTCACAGTAGGAGTGTATTTGCCTGAGCGCTAAGAAACCAAAAGTCTGCATATAGAAACGTCAAATCTCTAAAACGCATGTGCACGCAGTACTCACGTTCTTTATTAGCACCAAAGTCCAGAAATGGATGAACAACCAGAACTTGTCGCCGATGTTCACAGCCAGTAGACGTTAAGAGGACGAGGAAGCTATATACAACTGTCTATGCATTTGTTGTCTCCGTTTGTTTATAGACACTGGAGACTTCCGTTTTCAAAATGGCGGACAGCAGCTGTGTTTATTTTCGCTGGCTGTCAATTCTCTCGGATTATTCTGTTCTATAATCATGGACTGCTATTTTATGCGCATTTCCAAACCAGGATATTATGTGTTTTTCGTGGGAACAGCGTGTATTGTGGTTGTGCTGTGTCGGGGCGGAATAATGACTGATAGTTTTGGCAGCCTCGGCCACGCTGCCTTCGCAATGTTTTGATCGCGGCGGTCCACTCGGGAAGACAGAATCTCGTCAGCAGGGGACTGCAACTGTCTAGAGAGCAAACTCGATAAAAGCTGTCCCCAGAAACGGAATGTGTCAACCATATATTTGGTGGGGAGGAATCGACACATACGGTTAACTCAATGGCCCGTTTATAGACACTGACGTGTCCTTATGTTCTATATCTGTTGATATGTTTGTGCGTGTTCTGTCTTTGTTTACTTGCATACAACTGTGAGTGCACATATTGTATCTCCGTTTAATTACATACAACTGTGAGTGCACGTATTGTATCTCCGTTTAATTACATGCAACTGTGAGTGCACGTATTGTATCTCCGTTTAATTACATGCAACTGTGAGTGCACGTATTGTATCTCCGTTTAATTACATGCAACTGTGAGTGCACGTATTGTATCTCTTTTTACTTGCATACAACTGTGAGTACACGTAGTGTCTCTTCGTTTACTCACATGCAACTGTAAGTGCACGTATTGTCTCTTCGTTTACTTACATACAACTGTGAGTGCACGTATTGTCTCTCCGTTTAATTACATACAACTGTGAGTCACTTGCAAACAACTGTGAGTCACGTATTGTGTGTCCGTTTACTTACATACAACTGTAAGTGTACGTATTGTTTCTCCGTTTACTTACATACAACTGTGAGTGCACGTGTTGTATCTCTGTTTACTTGCATACAACTGTGAGTGCACTATTGTCTCTCCATTTACTTACATGCAACTGTGAGTGCACGTATTGTCTCTCTTTTTGCTTACATACAACTGTAAGTGTACGTATTGTTTCTCCGTTTACTTACATACAACTGAGTGCACGTATTGTATCGCCGTTTACTTACATGCAACTGTGAGTGCACGTATTGTATCGCCGTTTACTTATATTTTCATGTGAGTGCACGTGTTGTATCTCCGTTTACTTACATACAACTGTGAGTGCACATGTTGTGTCTCTGTTTACTTGCATACAGTTGTAATTGCGCGTGGCGTGTTGTGTGTTCATTTATTTGCATACAACTGTGAATGCTCGTGTTCTGTCTGAGCTTTCCTCCGTTTTGGTTCCGGGGCCCCATTGTAGAGAAAATAAAATAGACCCTTTGCCTCCTCAGCAAGTATGCCGCAAGAATCGACTAACAGGAAATCGAAGTCGGAGTGCATCTGCCTGGGAGGCTAGGAACTAAGAGTCTGTATACAAATAAACCAGATACGTAAAATGGATGTTCACGCTACATAAGGTTTCTAGAAAAAGACCATTGTTTAGAAGTGGACGAACAACCAGAGCTTTGCGCCTGAGTTTACAGCCGGTGAGCACGAAGAAGAACAAGAAGATAAAGAAGCAATATATTATGAGGACTAATGGATTTAATGTATTGAAATGGCTGGGACATATAGAAAATATGACAGAATAGGGGAAGGTAAAAACTGTGGACGCAAGATAGTTGAATGAATATGTTATGTAAATATTATATTACGCGGGACATTCATATAAGAACTTCCACACCTTCAGCAGCAAGCACAGACATCAAGTTCCAAAGTTCCCAACAACAGTCTGATTGTATATCCGTCTCGCCTTTCCCTCTTCAGACCTTGTTGATGTCCCAAAATTCCCTTACATACTCTAGCTTGTCATGGATCAATTTACCACCAAGTAGTGCAGAACCAACCAGTTTATCTCTTGTTTGCATTGTTTCAGGGTTACACTCTTCTGAGAATTGAATTCGCCCACAAGGACATTGCATTCTTCGCCCAACACTCCAACTTTACCGTGGAGGACGAGCAGTCCAAATACCGATTGTCGATTGGCCAGTTTTCCGGAAGTGCCGTCAGCCCCTCCATGCTTGCCCACAATGGCGCCTACTTCAGCACCTATGACAGGGACAACGACGATTGCAGTTTCAACTGCGCCCGGGCGCATCTGACAGGCTGGTGGTACAAAGTTGAAGAGGAGGTGAACATCAACGGTGCCTGGGGTAGGGACGATGCTACAGGCATGTACTGGGGTAGTTGGTACAATCTCACCTGTACAGAGATGAAGGTCAGACGCCCATAGATAAGTGAAGACAAGGCATAGCTGCCGCTGTCTAAGTGTGTGTGTGTGTGTGTGTGTGTGTGTGTGTGTGTGTGTGTGGAAGAAAAAAAGAGGGGAAGGGCACGACATAAATAGAAAAGATACACAGATATGTGAAGTCAAATAAAACAAATCATAGGTGTGGTAAGTAAGAGAATGTACATAAAACAATCATAGGTGTGGGAAGTCAGAGAATCAGAGAATATACATAAAACAAGCATGGGTGTGGGAAGTCAGGGAATGTACATAATACAAGCATAGTTGTGGAAAAGCATAAAATGTACATAAAGCAATCATAGGTATGGCAAATCAGAGAATATACACAAAACAAGAATAGGTGTGGAAAGTCAGGGAATGTAAATAAAACAATCATAGATATGGGAAGTTAGAGAATGTACATAAAACAAGCATAGGTGTGGGAAGTCAGAGAATGTACATAAAACAAGCATAGGTAGGGGAAGTCAGTGCATGTACATAAAAGAATCAAAGGTGTGGGAAGTTAGGGAATGGACGAAATACAAGCACTGGTGTTGGTAGTCAGGGAATGGACGCAATACAAGCATAGGTGTGGGAAGTTTGAGAATGAACGCAATACAAGCATAGGTGTGGGAAGTTTGAGAATAAACGCAATACAAGCATAGGTGTGGGAAGTCAGGGAATGGACGCAATACAAGCATGGTTTAGTTTGGACAACGGCTCAACATCGTGGCTCAAGGGTAGTAACCCATCTTTCCTCAGTTCAACTTCTAAATCAAGCCTGAATCCAAAGAATTTCAGCGCAGTGCACGAACTCCGTGGCACTGGTGGGAAAACAAGCATATGTTTGGAAGGTCAAGGTGTGGACTCAGTACAAGTATAGGTATACCGAGTGTACTACTGACATCATCCACTGAGGCAAGACTGTGTATCTGGGGTACTACTGACATCATCCACTGTGACAAGACTGTGTATCTGGGGTACTACTGACATTATCCACTGAGGCAAGACTGTGTATCTGGGGTACTAATGATCATCCACTGAGGCAAGACTGTGTATCTGGGGTACTACTGACATCATCCACTGAGGCAAGACTGTATCTGGTGTACTACTGACATCATCCACTGAGACAAGACTGGATCTGGTGTACTACTGACATCATCCACTGAGGCAAGACTGTGTATCTGGTGTACTACTGACATCATCCACTGAGGCAAGACTGTGTATCTGGTGTACTACTGACATCATCCACTGAGGCAAGACTGTGTAAGCGGTTTACTACTGACATCATCCACTGAGGCTAGACACTATCTGGTGTACTACTGACATCATCCACTGAGGCAAGACTGTGTTTCTGGTGTACTACTGACATCATCCACTGAGGCTAGACACTATCTGGTGTACTACTGACATCATCCACTGAGGCTAGACACTATCTGGTGTACTACTGACATCTTCCACTGAAGCAAGACTGTATCTGGGGTACTACTGACATCATCCACTGAGACAAGACTGTATATCTGGGGTACTACTGACATCATCCACTGAGGCAAGACTGTATCTGGGGTACTACTGACATCATCCACTAAGGCAAGACTGTGTATCTGGGGTACTACTGACATCATCCACGGAGGCTAGACACTATCTGGTGTACTACTGACATCATCCACTGAGGCAAGACTGTGTATCTGGCGTACTACTAACATCATCCACGGAGGCAAAACTGTGTATCTGGGGTACTACTGACACTATCCACTGAGGCAAGACTGTGTATCTGGCGTACTGCTGACATCATCCACTGAGGCAAAACTGCTACTGCGGCATGAGATGGCGGAGGTTGCTATCATGTTTCACAATATCTGACGGTGAGGGCTAAAGGGATCTAACTATATATGACAGATCCAGATTAGAAAAAAAATAGCACAGGTTTTAACCAAGAAAACGTTTTCTGGAAATACCTGAACAGAACTGACCGTGTCCCAGTTTTTCGCTTACGCACAGGTCACTGCAGACTTAACACTTACATAAATTATGTATGAGTCAAACAGCTCTCTGCCAGTGTCTTCGTGCTGTACATACTCTAGAACATGTCTTGCCAGACTGTCCTCTCTTGGCGGCGCTTAGCAGCAACATGTGGCCACACCAAGTAGAACTGACAACTATATTTCAACCTGGCCTTATAGGGCAACTTGTTCCAGCGAATGACAGACATGTAACTGTTCACAGCCTCACCACTTCAGCGAGAATCCTGACGCCAAGATGGACATGGATGTCCAGAAGCTCAGTGTTGGTAGGAAATGCGCAAAGAGACAATGAAGACAGCCATCAAAGACAACATATCCTACCAAGAGTCCCAAAGGAGACCCCATGCACCCAGTGACAGCCTTTCACTGGAAAAGTTGCGGCTTCCAGGACGGAGAGAAAAACATCTAGAACCAGTAGGAAGAAACAAATAAAAACGGCATCAGGCATCCAGCACTCACGGGATAAATAGAGGAGATGATAGAAATTCTGAAGTCCACCCCTGAGGTCCAAAAACATATAGCTACAGAGGCAGCTGCAATTGAGAAGTTCAAGGCAGATATGGTAGCACTCCCCACGGATGTCCAACAGCAATAGAAACGACGACAGACAGTCGACTCCGGGAAAGGGAGACCTTTTAACTAGACAAGTAAACAAAGGCGACACAAACAGGTGAGAAAAAAACAAAAACAAAAAGCTTTATGAGCAAGGCAAGGCAGTGGTTGCAAGAAAAACCACGATGAAGCTGGTGAAATGATTACAAGATGAGTTGGGTATGAAAGCAAGATCAGCGACCACCAGGAATAAAAAACAAGCTAAAATAAATTGTTTCCGGCATAAACTAGATGTACATAGATTAGACCGTGATAAATTACTCCTGGATAAACTAGTCAAAGATAATTATCCGTTGATAAATTACTTGGTTATAAACTAGGTGAAAAAAGACGAGACGTTGATAAATTACTCTGATATAAATTAGCTGTAGATTAGATACTGATAAATTGTTCTGGTATAAATTAGCTGTAGATAGATAAAACGTTGATAAATAACTCAGGGATAAACAGCTGTACGTTGTTTAACCATCGATAAATTACTCAGGAATAAATTAACTGTAAATAGATAAGCCGTTAATAAATTACTGGGGATAAATTAGCTGTAGATAGAATGGTCGTAGATAGATTAGTAAAAGACAAATGACCCGTAAATAGATTAGGTGTAGATAAGATAAATGTCGATAGTTTAGACGATAGTCTTGATTGTCTGTATGTGTAGAAATTAAATATTTGTTGTGTTGTCTTGATCTACATAGTTCGGTCAACCAGCCAGTGATCAGATTGTTTCGGACGACGCTGTACAATGATTGCTTCCATCTAACATCTTCAGACCAGATTGTCTACAAATGTCATTCATTCAAAAAATAAACAGTGAGAAAACGTTTTGAAGAAGCCTTACTTCAAGTATATCCTTACTTTCCTTATTAGTTTACATAAATTTATTCGTTAACGTATTTTCATTATTACGACATGCATTCATTCAACATTTATACACTTCTTATTGACACAATATTCAGTCACCACTCATTCATAATAGAGAACAGGCATACCACAGAATGCATGGATACAGTCAAAGACCAGCTGACGTTACCGCGATGATTCACAGGACACATCATCATCATCATCATCATCAATTTCTACTTCTGCCGTGGGAGCAACAGTCTGCAATCCATTGCTTGATGGGCAGCAATGACTACTGTTATTCCGCGTCAATGTACAAGCTCCTTAATGTCATCAGTCTAATTCTCTTAGTGCGTCCTCTTGCTTCCACTTTAGATCTTTTCATGTGTAGCACCTTTGCTGGTAGTTGTTTTTGCTGCATTCTTACTAAATGACCAAACTATGTGATCTTCTATTTCTCAATGGATTTGCTGCATATTGTTGTTTCTAGAGTCTGTCTGATAATATAATTTTGTCCGGAATGGTTAAATTAGCGGCTTTTCTCATGTATCTAATTTCACTAGTGTTAATTTTACGTGGGTTACCTTTGATAATATCCAAGTCTGGCACTGGTAGCACAGGATATGAAAATGCTGTTTATAATCTGTGTCTCGGGGCTTATAATTATGTTTGGATGTCTTTATAACGGCTTCAGTTGGTATATAAGTACACTGGATTTTTGGCATCTTGTTTCTATTTCTCGATTCATTCTCCCGGCCTCAAGGAATTTACTTCCTAGATATTTACATTCATTACCTTGCTTCAGATATGATACCATTTAACCCGATATGAATCAGACTAGGAATTCTGCTGACCTGTATTACTTGTTTTAGTAGTTATTTTTTTTTTTTTTTTCGTGTCATATTTTCTGAATATTACTTAGCCTGTCTATCCAACTCATTGTAGAACAGACATTGGTCGTCTGCAAATAGTGGCTCGTTTATTGTATGTGGATCTAATTCTTCCTCCGGTAAGTAAAGTTCCCTTTTAATCTGGATTTTCTGGGACGACTGCTTTAAAGCTAGCTTCTTTTGATATTTGGTCTATGTTATAGTAAATAAGAGAGGAAAGAGTACACATTCCTGTCTCACCGCTGTATTGATTGTAAACATATCAGATATGCCCTCGAGTTCTCACTGCGCTAGATATATATGGTGTTTAAAGTGGGCCCAGGACACGAGTGGAATTATGTCATTAAATACACTTTTCAAGGGAGGGCAATCTGGCAACAAATGCATGAAGAAGCTGGATGTATCAGCCAAAAGGCGCAAATATCGCAGCCATGTTGTAAATGGGCAAAACTCATTAACATCTTCGAATGATCAAAAATTCGTCATCATTATCATCAACATGTGCCCTGCCAACTGGCGCAGGCGCTCATGCGTCTCCACAGATCACAATCCCTGGTTGACTGGAACATTTCTCTAGAAGATATCCCTCCATGCCTCCAAGCATCATCTCTCTTGGTCTGCCTCTACCCCTTTTTTCACT